AGAATTGATGCGGTAAATGTACAAAAGTCTGGTTGATATTCGTCAGCTAATGATTTCACATGTTCTTGGGTAGGGTAACCAAGTCTACTGCAAATATCCAGACAAATATATGTGGATTGGAATAAGGTTCTGAAAAAAGAGGAATAAAGAAAACGGGACGAGGAGCAGAACAGAAAATATTCATGTTCAAAGCCGAACAACGGCTTCGCACATACGTTTACGGATAAAACAAAGGTATGTTTACCCAAACATTTTTAATATCAGAACACTTTACATCTGCGCTTATGTAGGTTAATGAAGACAATTCAGTAGTGAGATAACTAATGAGAAGTTAGTCGAATGAATAGAGGAAATTCAGAAGAACCAAGTTGTTAGTAATAAAGTTGATTTACAAAATATAATAAAGAGGATCAGTGATATAATTTTTTGGTTTTATTTATTCTTTTTATTTTTAAATCTGAGGCTCAAGAAGTTATGAATGAGCTCTTTTTTAGTATAGTTGTCCAGACCAGCTTGTAATAGGATTTCTCGGTAGGAAGTAAAAACCAGTGCAAGGTTACAGACATGGGTTGTAGACGAGGTTAACTAGGAAAAGTAACATCAATATCACTGATTTGTTACATCCTGCTATATCGTAAGGAGCCGTAAGCAAACAAAATGTTCTGCCACACAGACATGGGTAGATTGAGGTTATCGCCCCACCGTCATGAATGCTGGTCAGATACACCACCCTCCCTCCTTTTGTGATGTTAGGCTCTCTTACGTTTAATGGTTGATTGTAAATAATGGTCTCTAGTCTACTCTCAATTTTTTTTTTGTACACCTTATCGGAATTAACATTCTCTACTAGCTCCAACATTACAAGCAATCCAGACAACTTTGCCAGATAATATATCTACATAGCATATCACACTGATTTTAAGTAAACGAATGGTATAATTTGTAAGATGAGTCAGTTAATGGGTAGTTTGGAAATAGGAAGGACAGGGAGCTGGAACGAGGAGAAAGTGAAAAAAAAGAGTTGAAATAATGTTAAAAATTAATGAGTAAAGCGATAAGTTGGTAAGCAGGCAAGGTGTTTGGATGTTAATGAATTGGGGAAATAAAAATAAGTTAAACTGTTAATACGTAAATAAGAAGATACTCACAATTATACATGGTGTTTGAGTTCCTTGTAATTGACAGTAGTTGATCAGCATCTACAGGCTTGTCAATTTGTCTGTCTACTAGAAATAAAAACTAAAACTGCTATGAAGATATGAAAATAATGATTGGAATTTAAAAGCAGAGAAAAGTCACGGTTAACACCTCAAAGGCGTAACCTATTGCTGTTAGTAGGAGCAGGGGGATTTGTCTACCATTTCATGATACATGTATGGGTGGTAATGAGAACACAATATGGTCATAGTCTATAATTAGTTTCTGAGGTTTATCTAAATATTTGGTGGACCATAAAAGAGTGCCTGGGGACTTTGTGTGAGTTCTGGGAATAGTCGATAAATCTCTTTAGAATCTAGCAACAACATGACTAGTTTCTTGAACTTAGTGATTGTGTCACAGATACGAATAGCGATTGGTAACCTGTTCCACAGTAGACTGTATCGTATTACAAAGAAATTAGAACGCAATGATTTTTTGTGTTTTGCCGTTAATAGTGTATATGCGTTGTTTCTAAGTCTGTAAGCAGTGTCTTGGTTCATATTTGGGCGGTATTTTACGAACGAAAGACCATTTATTAGTTTATAGAGGAGCATTAGGTTGTTTTTGAGACGACGGCGCCATAGAGGTTCTAGGGAAAGATGCTTGCATCTTTCTGTGTAGTCGAAGTTATTGCTCAATCCGAGTAGTCGCCGGGTGAAGCTTCTTTGTACATTTTCTACTCGCATTTTGTCCATGATATTCATGTTTGAAAATATGAGTGAACAATATTCAAGTGTGGGCCTTATACAGATTTTGAAGAGAGTAAGCTTAGCCTCACTTGTGAAGAAGTTCTTGTTTATAAACCCAATGAGTCGTCTAGATTTAGAGATAATATTTGAGGCATGTTCTTCGAATTTTAGGCTTTTAGAGTAACTAATACCAAGGTCACGCGCTGATATGAGTGTCTGAACTCTACATTTTTGTAAGTAGAGTGGTGTATCAAGGTGATACTTACTAAATCTCAGCAATGAGAGTATCACTCCCACTGGTTGGTTCCAAAGACAACTTGGTACAGCCATTAGAAGCTCTGGCATGACTGAGCATGTACGCAGCGCCACTAGGTGGACTAAGGAAGGGAAGTCCTCAAACCTAGATTATCTGTTAACGAACGACCAGCTCCTGGTTTAGGATATTAACATCCGCGCTCCAATAGGTAGTAGTGACCATGGCATAGTCCTGTTTAACATGGTCACAAACGAAACGCTGACACCGGACGATAACGAGCCTTACCTTTGCTACAGTAGGGCAAACTACACACGCATGAGAGAGGTGCTCCTTCCTTCCCCCATGGCCACGGGAGTGGCGGAGGCTGACAGTAGATGATCACTGGCAAGCAGTGAGAGATATCATCCAAAACGCTGTCGTAGACAACGTACCTCAATCACACCCAAAACGCCAGAACAGAAGAACCTGGGTTAGGCGCGGCACGGAACGCTTGCTACAGGCGAAGAGGAAAGCCTGGCACAAGTGGAAGGTCTCTCAGAAGGATTCCGATCGCAGTTCTTACTTGGCATTGAGAAACAGATGCAATACCAAAGTTCGAAGCGATAGGAGACAATTTCAGACGATACTAGCCGCCAGAATAGAGGCAAACCCGAAACATCTGTTTAGGTTCATGTCCAAAAGAAAACCTACTAATCTAGGGTTGTTCCCCCTAAAAGGGCCTAACGGAGAAGACCTCACCAACCTAGAGATGGCCGAGATCTTCAACACCAGGCGCCTACATGTTCAGAGTATTACGCCAACCCAATGCCAGCTGACGGCTTAGGGAACATCCGTATCACTCCTGACCTAGTATTAAGGAAACTAAAATCCTTACGCCCAGGTAAGTCACCAGGTTGTGACAACATCCGCCCTATAGTCTTGCAACAGTGCGCTGAAGCCCTCTGTTCACCGTTATGCAACCTGTTCAGGCATTCACTGGAGTCACACCAATTCCCAGCGGTATGGAAACAAGCTACTCTCTCTCCAATCTTCAAAGGAGGAGGTAGAAAGGACCCAACCTGTTACAGACCAGACGCACTACTACCTATATTATCGAAGGTTATGGAAGGGCTAGTGGACGAACAAATGAGGGAGTACATGGATAAGAATAAAATACTCCATGAAGCTCAACACGGGTTTCGGAAAGGCAGGTCGTGTGCATCTAATCTTCTCATCGCATGGGACAGTTGGACATCCTGCTTGGACCGTAAAATACCAGTGCACGTAGTATTTCTCGACTTCGCAAAAGCCTTTGACACAGTGCCCCACGCACGCCTAATCGAAAAGGTTGTGGAAATGGGCTTCACTGACCCACTCGTATCTTGGCTCAGAAACTACCTTGAGAATAGAAAGTTTCGCACCAAGGTAAACAGGGTGCACGCGAGTTGGAGAGTATCCACTTCGGGAGTTTCACAGGGGACCATCCTAGGCCCACTCCTCTTCCTGATATTCATTAACGGCCTGCTAAGCTTAGTTAGCTCGACGGCACTGATCTACGCAGACGATGCGAAGATCTGGAGGTCCATTAGAAGCGAAGAGGATTCGACTGAGCTTCAAAAGGATCTTACATCAATGGGCAGTGAAAAACGGTTTAAAACTCAACCAACCGAAGTGCCACGTCATGCATTTTCTGCCTCATATGACACAAACCACCTACACTCTCAATGGAAGTCCGCTCCCTGATGTCTCCTCAGAGCGCCATCTTGGTTTAATAACCACAGAAAGCCTCCACACCAGTCCAAACTATGTAGGGGATGCAGCCAAGGCAAATGCGACTCTTCACTTTATGCGAAGACAGATTGGTGCTGTAACCCCGAAATTATTTTTAACCCCCTTTAAGACGTACGCGCGCCCACACCTGGAGGTTCACAACGTCATTGCACCCCCTCTGCTTAAAAGAGACATTAATCTCTTGGATCGAGTGCAGAGACGAGCAACGAAATGGGTGATAGGGTTGAAAAATAAACCGTACGACGATAGACTCCAGCTCTTGGGATTATTCCCACTGAGCTACAGGAGAATCAGAGGTGACCTGATAATGGCGTACACCATATTAAACACGCCAAACCATCCCAATGTGAGCATCTTACCGATGCATCACCACCACTCCCCTCGAGGCAATCCTCAAAAGATTGCACATCAAAGAGCAAACACTCAGATTCGTGCACACTTTTTCTCATTGCGAGTCGTCGCAACTTGGAATGCTCTCCCAGCCGAGGTAGTTACAGCCCCCTCAGTGGACTGCTTTAAGAAGAGACTTGATAATCACGTACTCACATGCGGACTATCATCTCCCTCTTGGACAAGCTGTGCCTGATGCATATCTTGAGACCTGCTAGTTGTTACCATTGCCATCTCCTCAGATCACTCAATTAATCTATCTCGCCTATTCTCTGTTCCTCTCCCTTGCTTACACTTCGGTCCTCTCTCACAATCCTCACTACCAATTAACAAACTAAATTCATCTATATATTACTCAGTTCTGAAATTTTATTCATATAATCACTTTAATTTATCCTTATTAACCTTATTACTCTCCACATTGCAACTAACTGATCTCCGGTTTGGTAATGTGACGGCTGCTAGTATCCAGAAACCCTACTGCCCTGAAACAAACGTTTCATTCAAATCCCGAGACATACAAACTCACAACCAACTGCCAACTGACTAGAATTAGACAGTCGAGTGGCTAGACTTCCATCGATTGGACATCACCGAATATCTGGAATCGTACCGAAAGAACAAGAATCGAGCGCGAAGAAATCAAATTGGTTTACACTAGCTCGTGAAAAAGATATTGGATATTGGATATTGGAGTTGTGGGAGTTTTGGATCAAGGTCACTTCTGCTCTGGGATGACGCTTTCCTTGCATACGAGAAGCTGTATGTACCATTTTATCAAGTAATGTTTGGAATTTACAGGAATTTAAACATCCTAAAATTCTTATTGAGACTTTGAATATGCTTGTCAACGATCAGTTTTCATTGTTCACTAGTACGATAATATATATTTTCCTTCATGTATTTTAAGCTTCAGTAAGTGATAAGTGCCATGATTATAGCTCATAAACGATAAAATCAATGCAACCACAGACATTGTTGGATTTCTGTGCAAAATCTATTTTTTAATTTGGTTTTATATCTTCATGTCAAAAGTCATGTCAGTTCTTGTAGACAATTCTTATATCGCCTTCCGATTTCCTACTCTAGCGCAATTTATCTCAAGATAATAATACGCAACTTCAGTTAGAATCTTTAGGGTAGTTTGTGTTTCCTCTAAATTACTTCAGTATCTCTGAAAGGTTTCTAAATCATTGTGGCATGGCAACACGAACTGATGTACTTACGTCCGAAGTTCAACGTTGCATCTCACTGACTGTAAATCATAGTTTTACTTTCTAAGTTAAACAAATACATGTCACTGCCATCTAAATGTTTCTAATCATAAAGTTCAATTTTTTGTTCTGCTTTTTATCGTGTTTTGCAGAAGTGAGGAGTTCTGAGAGACAAACTTCTAGCTATTATTACTAGCTGTAAATTTTTGTTGTTGACTGACATGTTATTAGTCATGACTTCTGAACTCTGCTTACGTATTTGCTAATGTTTTGTGGTAAGACTGTATATACTGGCGAACCAGTCAAATTTAACATTACCCCCAATGAACTTTCGTTCGAAATTCGAAGCACGACGAGGACTAGCTTGCCAATATCTATTAATATTGAAAATCACAACGAGACTGAATAATATGATTAAGCTTGAACAATACATGAGTTAACCGCTAGGCAAGGTTTGAATTTTTATGCAGAATAGTGTAAATAGAATGAACTGACGTGCCTGAAACATGTCAATCTGATCTATAAAATTTCCAAGATAATATTTCCCAAATAATGTAGACGAACTATTTCCATGGGTATCCACATATGTAACTGTGACGTATTGTTCCAACATATCCCCAACCTTAACCTCTTATTTGATTTATATATCTAACCTTCCTTGATTTTGTGCAATAAATTGTTTATTTATTTTGTAGTCTGGTAAGCCGATGACTGCAAAGAATTTCATAAGGTTACTTATAGTCACTCAAGATCGTCATATTCGTAGGGTCTTTTTTAGTGATATTGTATGCAAACCTATCAAGTAACATTATCTAGTCAAAATTAATAATGATATTTGATCTAGTAGGGAAAAGGACAACTTGGCGAACTTCACGTCTTGATGGAGGATGAGTGTTCATTGTTTCGGTCGAATGCGTTTTGATATCAACACTTCATTAAGTTTATGCGGTCTGCAATGAACATTTTAAAGTTTCGTGCAAGTATCCACTTAGAACTTACAGAACATGTTTGAATTTTATGTTATACGCAACTAATTATTTCACGCGTTCCCTTTTCATAAGACTTTATCCCGCTATTTGACAGCTTTATGCTTGTGATGATTAGATACATCAGATCTTGTCAATAACAGTATTATAGTCTTTAATTATTTATTTTTTTTCCAAAAATCATATAGAGTTCCGAATTGTAAGCCTGGGATTTGGATCATGTCTCAGTTATGTTCCGGATAACTTGAAAACCTTTCGATTCACCTGAAAATCAATATTTTTCCTGCTATATTTGTTGGTTTCGTTACTTTATCGTGGATCTGTTATAACATAAACCCTACTCATTTTTAGTAACATGTGATAGCAGTGCCTACTAATTCGATGTGTATCTTTGATACGTTTGCGCAGTAAGCTAATGCGCAACTCTGACTGTAGTACGATAAGGCCGCTTCCATCTTCCTCGTTCGCTGACTAGCGTTAGAATTTCAATTTTATATGAAAGCTTTTTTCATATGTACCTCTAGGAAATTGGATTACACAAGTTGATTCAATTAAATATCACTTAAATGATGTTTAATAGTCACAAAATTTTATCGGCTGGATAACTTTTACTGGATACAAAGTTAGTGAATCAATTACAAAAAAACACTGCACTGAAAATCAAATAACTAACTGGATATTGAATAGATTAATACAACTAAAAATCAGTGAACCTAATTTAATAACTTAAACCACCTTAAATCGGTGTCACTTCCCCAACAATTCTTCAACGTATCTTCTAATTTTTTTATTCCTTTTCAGGTAATTGTTTTATCTGGTAGAGAACGTTTACGTGTTTTAAATAAACAGCTCTCACAGGAAGAATCCTACCTGTTGGTTGAATCAGTGAATGGCTAATTCTGATGAGTTGGAAAAAGATGCAGATTTATTTAGAAGACTTGCAATGGAGCAAGAGTCTGAAGGACACTACGGATCTGCTGCATTTTATTACACTGTAGATAGCTAATTACCTCATTAATATTTTTAGGAAGCTGCTCAAGCACTCTTGAATTCTTTGGAGGCAGGCTCAAAAACTGAAGGCTTATTAGAATTAGCTCAGAAGTACAACGACAAAGTGAAAGAGCTCAAATCACGAACTAAGGTTCAAAACGCTTCAATACTGAACACTCATACTTCTAAAAGCAAAGTTTGGTTATATTTGTGGTTAATCGAATACATCAGGTTGACTTGTCAAGAGCTCGTTGCTTGTTAAATGATGCCATTTCGGAAGATGAGAAAGGGAACATCACCGAGGCTATTGAGCTGTATACGTTGGCTGTTGAGTTACTGTTATCCATAGTAAGTCCTCTAGATATTAGTTAACTAAGTTAACATAGAAACGTGATGTCAGTGATAGCTCCGTACTTGAACAGATTAAAGTATTTGCCAAAAGGGGGTTAGATCGGTATTAAATTACTATTTAATCGATTTCAGCCTTCTAGTGCAGAAGTATTAAAAACACAAGTTCACGGGACAAAGCTTTCTCGCTCTGATTCTCGTTCTTTGTGTGGTGCCTCAATTTCACAAACAACAGAACTACCTAAAAAATCACATGGCTTTCCCAAATCCAGTTTTTCTTCGTCTTCAGCAAGAGGTCAGTCTTTTAATTGTGTTAATTTATTACTATTCTTACTTGCAATGAGCCAAAGGTTTTATAATCATCATCGTTATCATTATCCAAACACGTAAATATTAGTACAAAAGGACACCTAAGTATCTACGCGCCACAAAAACTATTGAATTTATGGTTAGGTTGGTATATTATGCCGACACCCAACCCGAAACAGGTGATTTTCTTCAGGAGCCACACCCTGAGCTTTTGATGCAGAAGTTTAATTCACAATACAGTGGAGCAGCGTAAGATATAGTCCTATGGTAGTCGGCGATCAACAATAGGTTCATGCGTTATTCGTTCTCTCAGGATCCTAGAACCCATGGGGTCCATTCGTTTGGAATGAGCGTCTTACAACCCTTTTAGGTGGATCCTCCGTACCCACCAACCCGTCTAAAACTGCGAACATTTGCTTTTCGTCCTCTCAATTCGGGTAAACAACACCGCCACGAGTAGGCAGGGAGTAGGGATTCACTGGCTGTGGCTATATACGCGGGGCCATATGACAGCACTTGAAGCAGATCGAATTCTACCCATTCTCATTCGTACCACAGCATTCAGATAATACATTTAAGTTCAGTACTTGACAAGACTCTGTTATGGCCCACTTGGTGTAAAAATTATAGAATTCAAGAGCCGTATAGTTGCTTTTTTGTCGTTAACTATACTAGATGACTTTACAGCATCAAGTTAGCTGTCTTCTTTTTTATCAAATTTGTGTTCTGAGTGACCATACAATGTGAATAACAAAAACTTTCGACTCACTCCTTTGAACAATAACTTGTAATTAGATTGACCTTTGAAATGACTTAACTGTTCAAGGTATTCTTCAAATCTTTATTTATTGCTTGTTACTTAAAAAAATTTATTGATTGATAAACCACGATTTAAAACTGAAAGTAGTCGATGGACAGAACATATGATACCAATAAACGTATACTTGACTTCAACTCACTGAAAGCTTTTACAAATAATGGATTGTTCATATGTTTACTTACTGACTTGTGATTGTAAACATATCTTCACATTTTCACTGTATTGTGTTCAATTTATTGCTGTAGTATAGCTGGTCTTTGTTATGAATATCCATTTTATTTTATACACCTCGATTCTTCATTTCTACCAGTAGACTAGGAATTACTTAGGCACTTAATATAGTACTTTGTCGATTAGCGAAATAAAAATTTAAAACAATTTTTTATAAAAGTCACCATATTTAATTTTGAAATTAACCAATATTTCGTTTTATTTTCTAGTTCCCAGTAGTTTTACTGTCGAAGAACTGAAAGTATTGAAATCCACATCCGTTATTAATGGTCGTGAGTATTTACCGTTTCTTGATGCACTTGATCTGCAAGAACGATTTTCATTCGCTACTCCTTTTGTGTATGTCATGTTCCAGTTCTTCAAATTAGTTTCCTTCTTAATTTACATTTAATTTATAGTTTGTTATGCTTTATACAGAACCTCAAATATCAAATTTTATACATAGCATTGTCAAATAACTCAGAATCTTATGCTGTAGAATATCAGTTGAAATTGGCACACTTCCAAACAGAATTTGCACAGACGTTCTATCCAACCTGAAAAAACACACAATAACATAGTATCAGCTAGCTGGTTTCTCCTTGGGTTATTTTATGTTCATTCATTCAATCACAATTATTAAACTTAACAAATCTTTTGTCTGACTAGTCTTTTCCCTATTACTTAGATTTCTATTGGAATTAAATTCCTTGTAAATGGCCGCAATACTCATTCCATTTCAAATAGTTGATATAATCACCCAGACATTTGACAGTTTTTAGTTCACGGCGTAATAGCGTCTACTCAAACCAATTTTCATACATTTGTTTCCAGACTTATCACTGTTGGCTAATCCATTTAAGATGGCAGTTTGTAAACAACTTGACTGCTTTAAGTACAATTTCTGTCTGAAATTAATATTAGCTAAACAAAATCCTGATATTGCTGCTTAACCTCACTTCATATCTCCGCAGCTATGCACACCTGTCTTTAATTTCCTAGTGATAATCTGGTTTTGTTTTTTGGCCAGTTGATATAATCAGCAACAGCTGCTCGTCGATGGATGCGAATAATTACTGCGTGATGTCATTGGTTGACTGAAATTAATGAATACCTTCAGTTTGATTCGAGTCTAATGACTCGGCTAAGGTCTCATTTTGGGATTCGGATCTACTGACTTGATGATTCATACTAGTTAAGATTCTTTAAGCAAGATGTAGCAGTTGAGTTTCAATGGTTTTTATATGGTTTTTCAGTTTGTGCCAGTGATCAAATCTATATTCTTTTATACCTGAATTAAACATTGATGTTGTTGCTTACAACGGCATTGATCCAGCTCTTTAGCTCTCAAAGAACTGGTACTCAGAACCTACTTCTATTCCTCATTTGCCAAGTATAGACCAGTGTACTCAATTTTAAGCCATCTGTTTTTATATGGGGTAGTGATAAAACCTGACTATCCAATCTGAACCATGTGCGGTAGAGTTTGAACCTACAACCTTGGGGGTTGAAAATCGAATCGCTTAACCATCAAACCAACACTCTATGATGTTTCAGATATCCATGTTGTATTTTTTAACTGTCAGTTAATCCCCGAAAACCTAGTGCACAAACTTAGTATAAACCCATTTCAGTCAGTCAGATGCAACGTAGAACTTCGTACGTAAGTATATCAGTTCATGTTGCCATACCACATCAGCACAGAGATGTAATTGTCAGTTCAAATTCAACAGTAGAAGAGTTACTCAAGGTATTAGAAGTAATCGGAGAGGTTAGGATTAGAAGATATTATTCAAGAAGTATGATTCAGTGAGAAAAGTTTAGAAAGTCAAAACTAGAGGTGTCGAAGAATCCAGAAGATTAAGATTTGAGAGAACACAAAGAATAAATGCACCTGCGCCATTGCAAACGGTTTTGAGCCATGTCATTCAGGGTCTGTAACCATCGATTATTATCATCTCGCGGACCCCAACCAAGTAGTCGACAACTACTGACATGGCTCAGTCCACTCGTCAATGACTTGATGGATTTCTGCCATGTTTTGGTTTGGCTGCCCATAGGTTTCTTCCAACCTATTCCTACACTACAAAACAACGCTCATCGAGGCAGTCGGTGGTTAGGCATACGCAGCACATGTCCCAACCACCTCAACTGATGAAGTTTCACTACTTCATCTATTGATTTGCCATTCTTACCTAGAACTCGTTTCCTAATAACAGCGTTGCTCACTCGGGTGTCCCAGGATATCCGAGTGAGCACCCATTTATATATGTATGACTAAACATCTGACGTATTCAAACTTCGTCCTTGTCCGTATACCAATGATAATATTTGAGAATACGTTTACATGTTCTCACGTTTAAGGTTAATTTTTGATGTTTTCATAATTTCTAGTTATTGTTACAAAATCTTATCCTTAGTTTTTTTTAAAGATTTCATTTAACATTAAACAAGATTTTGTCTTATTCATATTTTGTATATTATTGTTATTTTTCCAAGTGATAAAGATGGACTGTTAGCATTGTCAAATAAACAAAAATCGTTACTTAGTCGTTGGGTACGTCCTTCTGACTATATTGATAATCCAAAAATGATTTTGGCAATATCATGCTTTTCTATATGTCAAACTGTAGTTACTGATTGTTCATTTGTTGCATCGATAGCTATTGCTGCTCAGTATGAACGACGTTTTAAAAAAAAACTTATCACAAAGTAAGTTATCACTTGACTGTTTTCACTATAATTAATATAAGCTGTTTGTTTCTGAACTATTTGCATTTTATCATTAAATCTTGTTTTTATTTACAGTGAAATAAATCACTGGACTGAGACACAATCTATCACTTTCGATGAAAGCAGGCCAGTGATTGGTTAGTGAGCGTAGACAGATGGACATACTCTTTCTTATACACCACAATACTAGGTAAGGATGGCAGAGCAATAGATGAAGTATTGAAACTTCATCAGTTAATGTGGTTGAGACAGGTGTTAGGTATGTCCAACCACCGACTGCCTCGACGAGCTATGTTTTGTGGTATGGGAATAGGCTAGAAGAAAGCTAGGAGCGGCCAAACAAAAAACTTGTCACTAATCCATGAAGTCATTGAAAAGTCGACTGAGCCGTGTTGGCAGATGTAGACTAACGCGCGATGATAATAACCGATGGTTAGAGACTTTTAACGACATGGCTGAAAATCATTTGCACTGGCTCAGGTGCATCCACTCTTTTTCTTCTCTAAAATCTTCTGAATTCCTGATCACCTTTATCCTTCTCTCTTTACATTTATTCCACTCAATTATACCTCTTGAATAATATTATCGAACCCTAATCTTTTCAATTACCGCTAATACTTCTACTACCTCTACTACTATGAGGATTGCGTCTCTGTGCTAATGTGTTATGGCAACTTGAATTGATGTACGTACGTACGACGTTCTACATTGTAGCTGACTTAGTGACTATGCGCCACATATATGATAGGCTACTTTATGTTGCAAACGATTTAAGTTTGTTTCTTTACTCTCTATCATTTCGTATTGCTGTTATTGTTGATATTTGTGTACTGATTAAACGGTTGGATTTTGAATGACTGAATTGACATGATTTAGCCATGTTCATATCATAACAATCAAATATTCCAGATTAACTTTTCTTCCGACGTGTATATATCATTCATCTGTGTACTGGATTTGAAATATCAGTTGAAACATTGGCATTTACGAATTTCGTAATATTATCAACTAACAATCTTCAGTTAAGATAAAATGTAATTTACAAACTCTGAAGTTTATTACAATCAGTTAAGAACTTGCAATAGTATTTAGGTTTGTTTATGTCATATAGTCCAGTTGTTTGTTGAATTTTATGATTTATTGAACAATTTGATGCTTGTCACTAAAGGGATATGGAGAACGTAAGATAAGTAACTTGGGAAGTTATTCTTTAGCAAATCACATGGTGTCTTTTTAATGAGAATTTATGGAACATTTGAAACAAACTGGTTGTCAGATGTCGTTGTTTTTCACCTTCGACACTTTAATCTCTGTTATGCTCGTCACTTGATATGCTTGAAACTATTACGAGTTCACCTTAGTCGATAAACGAGAACGAGACAATGACCCAGTGACACGGTAGGCTACTCTGATCCGTTGCCCCAACTAACTGAAGAAAAGGTCTTGATATGGCGTAGAAAGTGTATTCTACAAACACCCAGCAAATACAATGATCTCAAGCATACAAATCGCGTTTATTTATACATCATAGAAACGTCCTTGGGAGAGTCACAAAAATAGCGCACTAAAATAACACATCCACCAATCACAGCCAATGATTTTCCTGGTGGGAAATATGATCTCAAGGTCAACTGGTCAGCCTATGAATGAAATCCAAAATTAAGACCTTTATGAAATGAGTTCTGGGGATCTAACTCCCCCAACAATCTCATTACTATATTTGTGACACAAACAGCTACAAGTGCTTCTATTCATTCAGACTCATACTTGAGGTGATCCTTTATTTAAAAATTGATAGGTCGGGTAAGTCTAGGTAAATCGCGTTCCCGTGTGAACATACCATCTCAAGGTCAAATTTAAGTGAGCAGTCACAATTTCTCAGTGCTATTAAAAGAAACTGATTATGCTTCTAGGCAGCCTGGATGCTCTCAATGAATCAAAACAACATGCAACTTCGTGCGTACGTATATCAGTTCTAATTGCCATACTACATTAGCACAGAGGTGTAATTGTCAATTGGATGCCCTTGTCTAAATGAGATGGACAGATGTATATATAAATTATGATTTGTGTATCTGTTCATCTGGTTGCCAACTATATAGCTTCCTAACAGTAACTCATAGTTGTATAGCTGGTTTGGGAAGCGTGCATGCATGAATCGAACGTTGTGGAGCGTAGAAAAAAAAATGCAGAACCACTGTATAAATTTCAATAGATCACCCACAACTAAAATATTTGCAACAGTTAGTAGTGTAGGTTCAATGTCTCAGTAGTTAAAGCATTCATTAGTTAGGACTGCATATTGTGATAGTAAAAATGGTTTTCATTGTTGTTCTGTTACCAACTTCTGGTAGAAAAATCAAACACTAATGACATTATTCAAATGACAAGAAAAAGGTTTTTACTTTCAATTATCTCCAGTTTTTAAAGAATTCAATTATATCAATTCGATTTTCATATTATCATTCATGATATTGATTGTTTCCATTGGTTTTGTTACTTTAAATTAAAAAAAATTTTTTTTAGTGTTATATATCCTCAAGGCAAAGATGGTGAAGCTGTCTACAATCCATGTGGAAAATACATGATTCGTTTAAATTTTAATGGAGTTCCACGAAAGGTGCGTAATCGATTAATAATAGTGAATTGTATGGTTTTTGATCGTTCAGAAATCGAGTATTGATTGATTTCTAAGCTGGTGTTTATTTGTTAACTGACATCGAATGTCTAATACCGCTTAATTTTAAACAGTTTTTCCAACTGGTGAACTAGTTTTTTCCTATGAACCGCTTAGTTTACATCACGGATTGACTGTAGTTAAATCATTTCAGATGAGATAAATACTACGAGTGGGAATGGATAGTAATTGCACAGTGTTAGTGGGACATAGATGAATTAAAGCACGACTACGTTGCTGCTCGCTGATTGGCTAATTTCCTATCCAATCAGCGCCTGATCGATTCTTGGAGAACAGGGTACAAAATTCTCGTGTTGTTGGCTGCACTCTGATTGGCTAAATCTAATCCAGTCGATCACGTGAATTACTATCCAGAAGCTTCTCATGTAAATACTACAAATAAACTGACGTTGTATCTACTTCGCCTTCGGCTTTTTATTTCCATTTAACCTTGCTATTTGGAATATAATCTTTTCCTGTTCCACCGTGTTTTTGATCCTTTCGAACTTGTCCAGTGTATTGTGGTCAGAGAATACTAAGCAATAGGAATTAGCTGGGAATTATTCAAGCAAGCGTGACAACACACAGTATCCCTAGTTGGCTGAATTTAGAGAATAAACATGTGTTCTAGCCAATATAGCTCGGTTGGGTCGACATGAGAAGCAAGCCCGACCAGCACGTTGTATGAGTTAATTTACACAAGCTAGACTATGGGGTTACTGCTTTTCGTGTTCCGTTATCGGGTTGAAAACTTTGGTGAACGATGGTGTTGTAACGGTTCGCTTTTATATATTTTCTAGCTAAATCCTATTGCTTAGTATTCTCTGACCACAATACACTGGACAAGTTCCCAAGAATCAAAAACACGGTTGAACAGGGAAAGATTATATTCCAAATAGCAAGGTTAAATGGAATGCGAAGGCTAAAAATAGATACAACGCTAGTCTATTTATAGCATTTACATGAGAAAGCTTTTGGATAGAAATTCACGTGATCGACTGGATTAGATTTAGCCAATCAGCATCCAGCTAACCACACGAGAATCTTCTACCGTGTTCTCCAAGATTCGATCAGGTGCTGATTGGATAGGAAATTAGCCAATCAGCGCGCAGCAACGTAGTCATGCTTTAATTCATCTATGTCCCACTAACAGATGGGCATATATTGTCGATCAATAAGTAGTATTTTCTTTTCCCACCAAACGTATAATGAATCAAAGCTTAAGATGCTAAATAATAATTTAAATAGTATACTCGAGGTAGAAAAATATTACAGAGATCTCATTGTTGAATTCCTCGCGATATTGACTAACCTGCAGTCATAACACGATCAACTTCGAATCATTAATTACTCTTTGTCTATTTCATTTTCAATAACTGAATGGTATAGATATCCCTTAAAAACGATTGTTGTGACTGACAACTAAGTTGCAAGATATGGTTTACAAATTTAGAAGCGAAGCAAATGAATCTTCTCTTCTCCACCATCATATATGTGAGTAGACTGAAATACTACCCTGAAGCCTAAACCGAAATAGGTATTTTTCCTAAGAGGCTATTTCCCACACCTATGACCTTTGAGATCCAGCCCACAAGTTAATAGGGCGACGTCAGATGCTATTTCATGATAGCCGGTGACCAAAATACAGCTATCTATAGACAAACAAACACCATCCATCCATCCCTTAGAATCCTAAAACTGATGTTCACTATTGGTTTAGAACCAGTGTTTACAATTACCCTAAGTAAACGGTTTATCCTCCAAAGCAGTTTTGACGGTAGACATTCTCCTTAAATCCTCTGATTTGTTTTAAAAATAACAATTGTCGAGTAAAAGCACGGATTAATAATTCCTTGGCAGAAGCTATAAATGAATGATCTCATGAGAATATTTCAAATGAGGAAGTGAACTCCTCACCGTTGACATGTGAAAGCAATGGAAGTATTCCTAAACCTCAGTTCATTAAATTACGAAACTTCTCAGTACAAGTGTACTAAAAATAAATTAATATAATATATTATAAAAATAAATTGTGATATTCCCCAACCATTTGGAATTAGATGTTCTATTGAAATTTGTTGTTTCTTCAATCAAGCATGTTGGATTAGTGATAAAATTATTTAAATTCAAACAAGTAGATTGCAAATTCGAAAAATAAGCCATCTATGTTTGAACAATTTAACTAACAATTAATATTGTGGTACGAGCTACTTATAAGTAGTATATGACGTGAGTGTCAACGTAATGTCTGGCAGCAGAAGATGGGGGAAGATCAAGAAAGGAAGAGTTAGAAGACAATGGAATTTGTATGAAACGCATGAATAGTGAGTGACAATGGATTGATGTTTTGCAACAGTAACAGTCCAGTTCGATATGATGGACTGATATTTTGCAAATTAACGATTTACGATATGGTTTTTCGATTTTACTGAGTAACTCTGTAATTTTCGTTAAATACAATTCGGTTGCCCCACGTGTGTTCTCGTTCACTACAATATCACTTCCCAATATGTAAACAGTAAAATTCAAAGCGAATTAAATAAATCTTTACTTGGCTAATAATTAATTAATAAATAATTTTTCAATCTTATTGTGTTTTTAAAAACAGAGAACCATTGTGAACGTGAATCACTTTTGACTTTTACAGTATATACATACATATATATGTAATTTATTAATTTAGGTAATTGTAGATGATTTTTTGCCTATGGGAAAAGATGGAAAGTTGTTGTGCTGTTATTCAAACAATCAAAATGAATTATGGGTATCTTTGCTAGAAAAAGCTTATATGAAAGTAATGGGTGGTTACGATTTTCCAGGATCGAATTCAGTAAGGTTCAGTTACTTAATTTATTTGATATTATATATATAGTATATTTGTATATGTTGCTTTTGCACACCAATCTCACGATTTTAAATTATTGAATTCCCAACTTCGAAACAGTTCACAAACTTCTGTTTGATCACACTTGTTTGACTATGTAGATTAATTTAAGGGACCGTTCTGGCTGGGAAATGTGTCTATAGTCGAGCTACGCATTGTTTTCCATTTGCCTTCTAGAAGTCCTGACTGGTGATGTTCTGAGATACACTGATAGGGTGTTCACTTGTTGCGGCCAATGTAACTTGCCTCTCATGAGTAATTAAACTAATACATGTACATCTGCTTGGCCGAAACAGGTAGTTTATCCTTGGGCCACACCGATTTACTCTTAAGAAAAATTGCTATCCATTCTTGGTGATGAGCGCTCCATTAAGGGATGTTAGAAATTTTGAAACTCAAATTAAATTCAGTCTGTGGTGATGTGTCGTTCTCCGAGCTGGATATTTTGGTTGTGATATCCAGCTCAGTGAATCATCCCTTCATAAGAATCCAGTAAATATGCCCTGAAAAAAAAACTGTTGGCTGAAACATTAATATTAAGTGGTTGCCCTTTGGGGTTAATAAGCTGGTTTTAAAGTTAATTAACACCAAAACATCCTTTTTACTTCTGCTGCGAAAATAACAAAGTGCATTATTGTAACTAGGCATAGAATAAACACCAATACAGCTTTTAAAATGTTGCACAGAAATTTTCATAGCCGTGGTTATTCACAAATTCGAACCCTCTTTATTTGTACAGAAAGAACTTTTCCTAACCAACATTCTCCAACCTACCCTATCTTGCATCCTTCTTTTTAGTTCTATCTAATGGCTGTTCATTCTTTTCATATCTGCTTCCAATTCTTGGCGTATTGTGTTCTTTGGTCTTCTTCTTTCCCTTTCACCTTGAGGATTCTAAGTTAGGGCTTGCCTTGTGAACACAGTCGAGTGATTTCCGCAATACGTATCCAATCCACCTCCAGCACTTTTTCTCAATTGCTTCACCTGCAACCTACAGTAGAGTGTTGCATTTTGTGGCCTTACGAACATGCATTTCGGTAATTGATCTGAGTTAAGAATATATACCATCGAACTCTGAACTCGATAGTATGGAATGTAATACATCCACTACGATATCTTATAGTGCTGAGTTCGAACTGTGGTTGCACATTACTGAGTAGTAGCTCCGTGTGAGACTTAAGACACATCCAATGATCTTCGGTTGTTCGCAGTGATTCAGCAGCTGATATTAACCCATGACAAAAGTCATCCACTTACATTACATGAGTTTGTTTCTCAATTTTGGTTAGTTCCATTCATCGTAGTGTAATTTTTTTATATTTCTAGAAATCGTGTTCTGCAATTGGATTTAATGCTTTTTTTTCTTGACACTGACATTCTGAGAAGACGTGACCGTTGGAGCTTAACCATGTTGAATGTTAGACAGTTTCCTCCAATTGACATTGAAAGGTGGCGGCGTACTATTACAAATCAATTGGAGTTAGATACTCAACTTAGTCGAGGATAGTCCAATGGTTTTAAGGTTAACGAACACCTTTGAAACCTAAAGATCGTTTTTCCAATCCACGTTTTGTTTGTAAACGGGTACTTTCGAAGTGTCTTGTACTAGACTAAAAATCCTGTACAATGCGTCTACTCTCCAAATAAAACAAATTTTCGTTCAATGTGAATATTTGATCTTCAAGTAATCATACATTTCACATATGTGAAGCACTAACTTTTTTCCCCATGAATCTCCTGTGCTTTGAATCGTGAATAATATTACTAGTATTTTATATTGCTTTAATTTGATCATACATATTTCTTTTAAATGGACGATTGTTTCCTCCTTTGTATTGAGTTTTTCGTTTACAATTTGTTTATAGATTGTTTATTCTTCTTATTATTTAATAGAATATTGATCTGCATGCATTGACTGGTTGGATTCCTGAACGTATCTCCATTCGTTCTAGTACTTCAATTTTTAACAAAGATAAAGAATTTCGTCGTCTTCTAAGTCGATTTCATAAAGGACATTGTTTAGTTACAGTTGCAACTGGACAATTATCCGATGACGAGAGTGAACGATCCGGTCTAGTTCCAACACATGCTTATGCAATGTTAGATATACGTGAAGTTGAGGTTTGTGTTTATTGGTTGAAATGATTGCAAATACTACTTTGTATATAGTTTACTTGATCAAATTCCACTTATTTATTTGCTGTCTGACCAACCAGTGGCAATGCTTAAAACCAATAACATACTTACTTACTTAACGCCTCTTACCCCCAATGGATCATAGGCCGCTCACCAGTTTTCTCCAACCAACTCTGTCCTGGGCTTCCCTCTCCAGTTCTGTCCAATGTTTGTTCATTCCTCTCATATCTTTCTCTATTTCTCGGCGTAGTGTGTTCCTTGGCCTTCCTCTTTTCCTTTTGCCTTGAGGGTTCCATGTGAGGGCTTGTCTTGTGACGCAGTTAGTTGCTTTTCGTAGTGTGTGTCCTATCCACTTCCACAACTTCTTCCTGATTTCCTCCTTCACTGGAATCTGGTTTGTTCTCTCCAACAGTTCGTTGTTGCTGATGGTGTCTGGCCAACGAATACGAAGTATTTTGCGTAGACAACTGTTAATAAATACTTGTATCTTCTGGATGATGCCTTTCGTAGTTCTCCATGTTTCCGCTCCATACAGTAGAACTGTCTTGACATTTGTATTGAAAATCCTGATTTTGGTTTTGTTTGAAAGTTGTTTGGAGTTCCAGATATTTTTCAACTGTAGAAATGCAGCCCTCGCTTTGCCAATCCGCACCCTCACATCTGCATCGGATCCACCTTGATTGTCGATGATGCTGCCCAGATATGTAAAGGTGTTAACCTCCTCCAAGGCATCTCCATCAAGCGTGATTTGGTTGGTGCATGTTGTGTTGCATCGGAGAATTTTGCTTTTTCCTTTATGTATGTTGAGACCTACTGCTGCAGAGGCTGCTGCTACACTGGTCGTCTTCTCTCGCATTTGTTGTTGAGTGTGCGATAGAAGAGCCAAGTCATCTGCGAAGTCCAGATCGTCCAGCTGCGTCCTAACTGTCCAGTTGATACCGTGCTTCCCTCCAGATGTTGACGTCTTCATAATCCAGTCGATGACCAGGAGAAAGAGAAAGGGTGAGAGTAAGCAACCTTGCCTGACACCGGTCTTCACCTCGAACGAGTTTGTCAGCTGACCTCCGTGCACGATTTTGCAGTTGAATCCATCATAAGAATTCCGTATGATTTTGACTATTTTCTCAGGCACACCGTAGTGTCGAAGAAGCCTCCACAGTGTTTTCCTATCCACGCTATCAAATGCTTTCTCGTAGTCGATGAAGTTGATGTAGAGTGGTGAGTTCCATTCAATTGATTGTTCCACAATGATCCGTAATGTAGCAATTTGGTCAGTACACGATCGATCCTTACGAAATCCAGCCTGTTGATCTCGAAGCTGGGCGTCTACGAAGTCCTTCATTCTGTTTAACAATACTCTGTTGAAGACTTTGCCTGGTATTGAAAGAAGAGTGATGCCTCTGTAGTTCTCACACTTGCTCAGGTCGCCTTTCTTTGGTATTTTGATGAGGTATCCTTCTTTCCAATCTGATGGTACTTGTTCCTCATCCCAAATCTTCTTGAAGAGCATGTGAAATATTTTCGCAGTTGCTTCTACATCTGTTTTCATTGCCTCTGCTGGAATGTTGTCTGGTCCTGCTGCTTTGCCGCTCTTGATTTGTCTGATGGCCATACTAATCTCCTCAATCGTAGGTGCGCCAATATTAATTGGGAGGTCCTTGGATGCTGCTTCGATGTTGGGTGGGTTCAGTGGAGCTGGTCGATTCAATAGTTCCTTAAAGTGCTCCACCCACCTATTTCGCTGTTCGTCAGTGTTGCTGATTATTTTCCCTTCCTTGCTTTTCACTGGTCGTTCTGGTTTACGATAGTTCCCGGCGAGCTTCTTTGTTGTTTCGTACAATTGTCTCATGTTTCCTTCTCTTGCAGCCTTTTCCGCCGTCATTTCTAGATCTTCCACATATTTTCGTTTGTCAGCTATGATGCTCTTCTTCACTTCCCTGTTTGCTTCTGTGTATGCAGCTTGTGCGGTAACTTTCTCTGCTCTTGTTCGGCTGACATTGATTGCTGCCTTCTTGTTCCTCCTTTCTTCAATTTTTGCAAGAGTATCAACAGAGATCCATTCCTTGTGATGGTGCTTCTTGCGACCAAGGACCTCCTGACATGTTGAAGTGATTGCCTCCTTAATCCCTTTCCAATTATTCTCCAACGTTGCGTCCTCTCCATTGAGTAGATCCTGAAAGGCCTGGAACCTATTGGTAAGGGCTATCTTGAATTCGTTGAGTTTTACGGTATCCCGAAGAAAGGCCGTATTAAACCTGTGCGATGATGTCTGCCCCGTTGTCCAGTGCTTCTTTAGTTTCAGTTTCATTTTGGCGACCAGTAAATGGTGATCTGAAGCTATATCAGCTCCTCTCTTGGTTCTCACATCCTCCATGGTCCTTCTGAACTTTTTGTTGATACAGATATGGTCAATCTGGTTTTGAGTAGTGTGATCCGGTGAAATCCATGTGGCTTTGTGAATGCGTTTGTGCGGGAATATTGTGCCACCGATGACCAGTTTGTTGAAGGCACATAGGTTTGCAAATCTCTCACCGTTTTCGTTCCTTTCTCCCAGTCCATGTCGTCCCATGATGTCTTCATATCCAGTGTTGTCCATGCCAACCTTGGCATTCAGGTCTCCCATCAGAATCGTCAAATCCTTTGGTGAACATTTCTCGACTATTGACTGCAGCCTTTCGTAGAATTGATATTTAACGTCGTCATTGTAGTCATTGGTAGGTGCATAACATTGGATGACGTTCATTGTAATGTCCTCTTTCTTTGTTTTGAAGGATGCTTTGATGATCCTCGGCCCATGAGATTCCCATCCTATCAGTGCCTTCTGTGCATGTTTGGACAGCATCAGTGCAACTCCTTGTGTATGTGAAGCGTTTTCCTCTTCATGACCAGAGTATAACAGCAGTTCCCCTCAAGCTAGTCTCAGTTGTCCTACTTGTGTCCAATGCGTTTCACTGATGCCGAGCACCTCGAGGTTGTATCTTTTCATTTCTGCAGCAACTTGAAATAGTCTTCCAGTCTCCCACAATGTACGAACGTTCCATGTACCTAAAAAAACGGTTGCTCTGGTTGTCAGAAGAGGCATCGGCCCCGTGACTTCCGAGGGAACTCGGCTTTCATCACGAGACGTCATAATTCTTCTTCCAACTCCCAGGGCAGAGTAAAAATGGTTTGAATTATTTTTTCTGGTTAGCGTTTTTTTGGCAAGTGAGATTTCAACGGAATGGGGTCGCCAACCCCATGTCCAACCCTCCTCCTTTATCCGGGCTTGGGACCGGCAGTAGCCCCTAAGGTTCTACTGGCGGAGTAAAACCAATAACATAGTGATCAAGAAATCCTTGTGCGTATTCATCCACTAGCTTCGAAGGACAAAGCAGGCAGAATTATAATCTACTATCTTTCTTATTATCTTAACTCAAAAACTTATCTGTTTATGTATAATTTGTACATAACTAAGTCATATTTACTACAAAACTAAGCAATGAGTTCATAATTAGTTCACAAAAATTTAAAGACGGTAATACCATGCAATAACAATTATGAATGAAATGAAAGAGTAATATAAATAAATATACCATAACTAAGACACTTGGTAAATATACACCACAAATGTGAGGCAATGCTCGAACTTCTAATGAGAGCCATGACCAGTGGAGTGTAACGCTGTCGGGTATAGGCAGTCACCTACCGAAGACAATGGGTAAGGTTGTGCAATCTCTTGGATTGATTAAAGTTAGACAATAACACCATTAAATGCCGGCTGAGTGGTCTAAAGGTTAGGCGTTCGCATGTGGGACCGAATGTCCCGGGTTCGACCCCCTCGAGTGGAGGTCATGGATGTGCACTGCTGACGAGTCCTATACCAGGGCAAAATGGCTGTTCAGTCCTTCCAGGTTTTTAATGGTGATCGATTTATGAATGCAATGAAACTCAACAATCTTCACAACTCGATAATTAAAATTAGAAATGTATTTAATAATTTCAAGTAAAGTAGTAGTTACAAAGGTTCTTTCCTTTCAATAATTTTAATCGGTCTAACTGACATATTTTTGGAGTATTTGTCTTGGTTACATTTTTCTATTTCGCATACTTGTATTATTGAAATGTGATTGGCTCATTACGATATTAAACTTAAATGATTCTGAATTGGTTGTATTATGAATATTTGTGATTCGCATAGTCAACCAGTTATTATTCATAAACAATGAGACTAGTTCATTAAAAATGTGTATATCAACACAAGTCATCACATAACGTCGTCAGTACAGCAAGTTGAAATGAACTAAACAATAAACGAATATAATCGAGATAGTAGTCAATCAGTCAGTCAGTCAACAACAATGTAGAACTCGGTACGAATGGACATCAGTTCAAGTCGCCATACGATGTAAGCACAGAGAGATGAAATTGTCAATTCAAATCCCGTAGTAGTAGAGGTTGTAGCAGTATTACGGTGTGTTACGGTCTAAACACGTATATAAATTTCGCTTAAATAACTCACATTAGCTTTCCTGTATATATATGCATCTTTAATCTTGATTATTTCATCTTCCACATTCACTTAACTGTTCTTATTCACCTCGTGTGCTTGTAGCTTTTGTGCTATATGCTTCCGTTACAACCCGATATAGTTGAACTCTATTAATCACAACCTATTTGATATATTTCGAACTAATGGAATGGTATTCATCTCTCAAAAAAATTGCGAGGTAAAAGGAAATTAACCTCTAGGCAAAACATAAACTGCACTACTATAGACAATAAATCATTATTGCCAGGTGTTGTTATTATCAGGAAAAAAAAATAGATTGCTTTTCTAGGTTGTTTTGGATTCTGTTTAATATCTGGTC